TGGTCCCCCCCAAGAATATAAAGGGGTTGTGTAATATTGGGAAAAAAAAAAAAAAAAAAAAAAGGAATTTACTCAGTTCATAGTACTTCATACAGGGAGGATAAGCGCTATATGATTAATGGTGACCCGGTTCGTGGCAAGGCAGACGGGTAATTCCCCTCTCGAAAGAGGGCAATCAATGTTGTTCCACCCAGTGCTGGTCCCGGGGCGGCGTGGCTAGGGGAAGGTCGCCTGGGTACCCTCTTGGGCGGCCCGGGGCGGGCAGGGTTCGGGCAGGGTCCTGGGAAGTCCCAGCGCATAATATGACGAGAAAAAAAAAATAAAAAAAAAAAATAATAATAATAATAATGTGGTGAAAAATTGCAGCACAAACAACTCTTCTTTTTTTTTTCAAAAAAGGGGAGTATATTATATCATCACAAGCTGGGAAACGGGCCCAGCGTCCCTCATATCAATACCCACGGCCTGCAGGGATGAACCAGGCTCTCCGACCTGGAATAACCCCACTGCGGATGAGTCACACCACTAATTAACATCACACCCTAATTAGCCTAACTAGCTTAACGTCCGTAACCCTAACACTAAAGCACAAACCAAACTGAGTCACACCATGAGTTAACATCACACCCTAATTATCTCTAATTAGCTCTAATTAACATCGGTAGCCCTAACACTAAAGCACAAACAAACTAGCATCTACTATACTTCAATCACCGAAGTCTAAGCCCTCTGGCCTGCGATAAACCCACCATAGCGGAGTCACACCGTACTTAACAGTGTTAACAATAATTAACATCACCCTGATTATTGACACGTGGCGCGGTGACATGACTTCATAAGTGTTAAGGGACGATGGACCCGATTTCCAGCAGGTGCTGCTCCCCACCAATAGATGGAGCCTCCCCGAGCATGCTAGCGGTGTTTGCTCTTATCAGCACCACTAGCATTTACTTGGGTTGTTCTCTTATACACATCTAGATGTGTATAAGAGACAGATGATAGACAGACTGAACGGCTCATCAGCCATAGCATGAGGATAATCACAGACAAATGACAACAAAATAAGCTCTGGATTATCACGCACACCGAAATAAGCTTCCATGAAATGTCAATAAAGTACAACCATGTCCACAGAGCAGAGTACTCTGATCATCCCCAAGAGTCAAGCTCTTACCACCACATACCACAGTCCTGCGGCCAAACCTCTACGCATTTCAGCCACCCCGCGAGTGGCCTCATCAGGAGGATTCCTGAAATGGCTAATGCTCATCACACGAAAGCGAGGAGTAAGAGGCCATTCTGATAGCCTTGCCTCTATTTATCCTATCCCTGATCTAACTCTCAACCGATCTCCCTGCTTAGTACTCATTACTCGTGACCATACGACACACCTCCCCACCCAGCCGTCGATCATATGAACCTCCATGGTCCCAGAAAACTTTTGGAAATAGAAGATCTTCATCGTCTTGGGCATGGGAATCTGCACAAAGACGACAACACAGGAAAAACACACAGCCAACACACAAAAAACAAGCCAGGACCAAGAAATCGCCGTCGTATGCCAGAAGTAACCTTACGGCGCAAAGAAAGCAGGTCCAGTGGTCCACCGGAGCTAGTACCATCACCCGGGAGACTCCGTTCTGCGATTACTGTCGTCGGCGCAATAAAGCACTTAAAAACCAAGGGAACACCTGCGCTAATGAAAGCTCCTCTGAACCCAAAAAAAGTAACCCGTCGTGCCTGCGGCCATAGCCGAGGTTACATGCCACTTAAACCGTCGTGGAAAGATCAGAGAGTGGGAGGCGCCGTGCCCTCATGAATGCTCCGTTCTGCTGACAACTCGTAGAGCTCCATCGGCCTTCTGTATCGAAAGAGGTCTAATGTGGTGATTGCCAGGATACAAATAGTATCTCGCGACGTTGTACATGAAACAC